CGGGAGCAGGAGGAGGCAGGAACCTGTCCACCAGGGTCTGGAGGTGACCTCAGAGGGCACGGTTCTGCTTCTCCAGTGTCTGCAAGCTCTGTTGCCGCAGCTGCAGATCCTCGCAGACCCATTGCTCCTGGTTGCAGAGCTGCTGCCCCAGTAGCCACAGGTGCCACTGCTGATACTCCTCCTGGTTCCAGGCATACCTGCTGGCCCGGGTGCAGGTGGCTGGTCCAGGCGGGGTGGTGCACCCTGCACTCACAGGTTCTGCAGCTGTGGTGAAACAAGAGCAGTGGTCAGTTCTCCCTGGGGACACAGTGGGTGAAACCAGCCCCCCTCTGCAAGGCAAGGTCGGTGTGTGGGGAATGAGCAAGGGCCCCTGCATGACTCCCAGTTGCTGCTCCATGGTGGGCAAGGCCCAGGTGCACAGTCCCTGGGCTCCCTCTCTCTCCCTCCCCACAAAAGGGCACCATGATGGCACTCACATATGGAGCCCTCCCCGGCCTCAGTTGACACAGCTGATGGGCTCTGTGGGATGACTCGGGGGTCCTGGGTGATGGGCAGGCTTCCTGCAGGGTCCTGCGGCTCCTGGCTGTCGTCCTCTTCGTCTTCCTCCTCTTCCCCTATTTCTGGGGCTGAGCCCTCTGCCCCGGGGTCGATCACCACCCGGGGGGCACGGACTGTGTGAGCCCCCAGGATGAGGTCCAGGGCCTCATAATCAGGGCAGGTGTCTGGATCAGTCCCTGGTTGGGAGCCCCTGGCATAGGCATGCTACAGGTCTTTAATTTTGCAGCCCACCTGCTCCTGGCTGCGCAGGTCGCCTCTGGTGGCCAGGCTGGCAGCCATGCGGCTGTAGATGGCCACATTCCTGTGCCTAGTGCGGAGATCGTGGACATTGGAGGCCTCCCCCCAAACCTCGATGAGGTCCACGATCTCCGCTCTAGACCAGGTGGGTGCCTGGTTTTTTTTAGCCCCTGGCAGGATCTAATTCGAACTACCGGTACACCTCGTTCCACAAGGAGTAATGGTAGTTCGAATTAGCCTAATCAAACTACCTACTCCGTGCCGCATGTAGCCGCGGGCATGGAGTCTGCACTAACGGGGATTTAAAAATGGCAGCACTCAGCAAGATGCAAATGAAGCCTGGGATATTTAAATCCCGGGCTTCATTTGCAACTTCGAATGCCTACATTAACCACCCTAGTTCGAACTAGGGTGTTAGTGTAGACATACCCTTAGGAAATTTTCCCTAATGTCCAACCTAAACCTCCCTTGCTGCAGTTTAAGCCCATTGCTTCTTATTCTATCCCCAGGGGCCAAGATGAACAAGTTTTCTCCCTCCTCCTTATGACACCCTTTTAGATATCTGAAAACTACTATCATGTCCCCCCTCAATCTTCTCTTTTCTAAACTAAACAAACCCATTTCCTTCAGTCTTCCCTCATAGGTCATGTTCTCTAGACATTTAAAAATTCTCGTTGCTCTTCTCTAGACCCTCTCCAATTTCTCCACATCTTTCTTGAAATGCGGTTCCCGGAACTGGACACAATATCCAACTGAGGCCTAACCAGCGCAGAATAGAGCGGAAGAATGACTTCTCGTGTCTTGCTCACAACACACCTGTTAATGTATCCCAGAATCATGTTTGATGTAGACAGTTGGGTCAGAGTCCTTGACCACCTTATCCGCCTGAACCCCTAGGTGTTGGGCCAGTCGGCGGAGGAGGTCCTGATGGGCCCTGGCATCCATAAAGGGCATAAGGGCTGCCGCGTCAGCCAGCAGTTCGTCCAGAGAGGAGGACGATGACCCCTTTGCAATGTCCCCCATGGGGGCATCTCTGTGCTCTGGACCCTCAGAGGTGGTCACAAGGGAGGAGGGGGACCTAGTTGGCTTTCTGGCCAGTACTCCCTGTCGGGCCTGAGGATGATTGGGAGACTGGACCAAGGGGGTAGCTGACGGGGTAACCAGGGGCCCTGAAACGGAGGAGGCTGTTCAGGGCGACACGGATCCCTGGCTCTGGTGATAGGCCCAGGGAGTACAGAAAGGCCATTGTCCAGATGGTTGGGGAGCCCAGATTTGTTGCAGCAGCAACACTGAGATTGGCTGCCCCCATTGCTGCTGGTGTGAAGGAGACCGGTGCCGGGAGTGGTACCATGATGGGGAATGGTGCCGTGATCGGGAATGGTGCTGGGACTGTGATCGGTGCTGGGAGCATGACCTGGAGCCTCTAGACAACCACTCAGATGCCGCGTCGGAGTCGGAAGAGTAATCCAACATGGACCACAGAGGTGCTGACATCAAGTGTGGCAGAATGGCTTCATATATGCTTCCATATATGCTATTCATGTAATTATATAATGTCTGTGTGTGAAGTTGTAAGCATGTACTTTGTGTGGATACCAAATGTTTCTCTGTATGTGGTTGAACTATGGGCAAAGCAGCTCAGCCTATAGACATGCTAATTAGCAAGGCTCTGTGGGACAATAGCCCTCAATAGGCCAAGGACACACCTCAAGAATGGGGAATGACACCTAAGGGCTACCAGCAGGGAACACAGGGATAGGCCGCTGGCCAGGTGACCTCCTGTAGCCAAGAAGAGATCAGGAAGGATATTTCCATGTGGCCGACTCCATCTTTGTACTCAGCTCAGTTCTTCATCCCAAAGGCTGTGGTGCAGGGATCAAAGAGCTGGAAAGAACTGTGGACGCATCCTGACCAAAAACTCTTAAGCCAGCAGCTATAACATCTCTGCTGCAAGCCTGCATCGAGAACTGGAAGATTCGATGCATGTAATGTATGATACTTTAACATCCCAGATTTGTTGCAGCAGCAACACTGAGATTGGCTGCCCCCATTGCTGCTGGTGTGAAGGAGACCGGTGCCGGGAGTGGTACCATGATGGGGAATGGTGCCGTGATCGGGAATGGTGCTGGGACTGTGATCGGTGCTGGGAGCATGACCTGGAGCCTCTAGACAACCACTCAGATGCCGCGTCGGAGTCGGAAGAGTAATCCAACATGGACCACAGAGGTGCTGACATCAAGTGTGGCAGAATGGCTGGGGTCACATTACTGAATTGTAAGGAAGCAGCCAGGTCACTGCTACACCCATGGGG